TAAAGCCACATGGACGGCACGTGGTAGCGGCTCATTTCGGAGCTGTTCCATCTTCGAAAGTAATGTCACAACGCGTGCGTGCTCCCTGCAAACACGTAAAATTTGCTGAAGGAAAAAAAAGTCAAAAACTCGCATTGTTCAACTTTGATATGAAACCGGCACGATTCTTTATGAGATTTTTACCGCACTGTAGAAACCACCCGCTTTCCCTGCAACACCCATTATGTCACTTTCATTTAATTAGTAAAACAACAGGGCGTATCAAGAAACCGGTACTACAGTAGTATGGTTTTTCGATCCCCTTAAAACTGGATGGGGCACCGGGACTGCCCCGGTAAACGGTATAAATCTCATACTAATAATGTTACTGAAATGCTCCCACAACTATGCTAGAACCGTACACTTCCAATCAAGCTCTCCGGAAACCACCCTCAAGGTAGCTACTTTTCGAAAAGTTTAGAGCAGACAGGGGCAACCTTTGACGCCATGCGGGCCTGATTTACATACTTACTTAAGCTCGCGGGCCACTTTTTGATAAAGCCCAGACAGCAACACATCATTTTTGTCCGTGCAACCATGCGCTTTTGCGCTAAACTTGGTGCAATCAGATCGTTAACAGTATGAATGGTTGTTGCTTTACAGTTTAACACGTGCAATTCATGTGCTTGTGTTTTGGCCTTTTCTTGCATGCCTGGGGAAAGGGTTGGCCTGGTGCGTGCCACTATTTATTTATTTTCATGAGAATGCAGTAGCGCGGCGGAGTACAAACCCCCTTTCGTCTAGTTAGGAATCACATTTCGACTGCCTCCACGGAAAAGCCAGTTGCCCACCTGTGATTTAGTGTATTGAGGTCCTTGTAATTTTAGCACATTTCAAAATACTTTAAATAATTTGGATCAATGTAGGTCACAGTTTGGCATTTCAGCTATGGAACTAGTACAATTCCCAGCTGCACTGACTAATGCTCTATTGCCTGGTGGTCAGCTTACTTGTAGCCCTGATCTCTGGTCACTACTGTAGTTACATGATAACTGAAACAGCTACCAGTTTAGCAAAAAAAAAGATGAACCAGTAGTGGACAACAGCATTTTCTTTAACAGGAGCATTTTCTTTAACTTCACTACCATAGGATACTCGTAAAGCAGAATTTAAAATACGATAAATTACCAAGACATTAGATATCTATCGCTGTTTTAAGTGGTTACCTGCAGAAATCGACGATCAGTCGATCGATCTTTGACGGTGCCTGGCAAAGACGTGGGATGGGCATATTATTGGTGGATGAGATTTTCTTGCCCAAATTATGTCGCGCCAATTCCGCTTCCGTCTTTTTGCGTTCCTTCTCGAGTTGCCGATATTGCTCTGTGCATTCCTCAAGACGAACATGCAGCTCGAGAGCGACCAGTGAACGACGTGGCTGATATGTTCTTAGCTGCAATAAACTGATATTTCTAATCCGTCGTGGAAAAAACACGAAGACAGCCCGCCAAAAAAAGATGTGCACTCCCTGTGGAACGCAGTCAAGAGAGGCGTATTCTGCCTTCAGAAGCAAATACACAGTAGATGTGCTACCAGGACAACCATGAAGCATAGCTGCCGATGGTGCAGTGGGTAGCACGTCTCGTCAGCATGTGAAGGGGAATGGTTCGATTCCCACCAGCCCCACATCCATTTTCAAAAAGAGGCCCCGCTCACGACATAC